CATCAAAGTTTGAAAGTTCGACCTCGCACGAACTGGGACACAGGCTAAGTACCTTCGACATCAAAATTTGACAATTCGACCCCGCTCGAACTGGGACTCAGACTAAGTGCCTTCGCCATCAAAGTTTGACAGTTCGACCTCGATCGAACTGGGATTCAGGCTATGCCTGAATACCATCAAGGAGCGACAGGTTCGACCTCGCTCTAATTGAGACGAGCTATCCTCTCAAAAAGTTCGTAATGAAACCCACGGCCAGAAACTTTCATCACATAAGGGGAACCGGGACTCGTCTGACGAGCCCCCACCCCGCGACTAGATCGTAAATCAACAGAACTAAAATGTAAAGTAAGAAGCGAAGAATTCTTTATTCATGAAGTCAGAAATGCGGGCTATTGCCGCTTACATCTGGTCCAGGCCAGCCAACTAAAAAAAAAGGAGGGGGGAAGAAGACAGCAAGGAACAAACAAACGCCCATCGACATACAAAAAAAAAAGACAACAAACAACGAAACACAATTTTCTCTCACTCGGCGCCAACACCGTAGTTATCATCATCACCACTGGCGTCCCCATCAGCTTCGGGTGTCGCCACATCATATCCACAGTTGGCTCGAGCCTCACGAGCCTTCTGGCGTGCCTCCCCGAAAGCTGCCTCAATCACGGTGCCCGCCTCCCATAAGTTCTTGAAAATGTCACATTGAGCTTCGGCGTAAACCCAGAGTTCATGAGCCTGGCGGGGAACAACAGCACGGGATGATCCAGCCTGGGCCCTCAGCCGCCGATTCTCCTCCTCCAAGGCCGCAACTCGATCCGACAAGGCTAAGGCCTCCTGATCAATCGCACTAATCCGCTCCTCGAGCCTCTCCTCCCTAAGGGCCGCAGTAGCCCTCTCCGACTCTTGCTCGGACTCATGTACACAAACTACCGCCTCTAAGGCCGCTGCCCTCGTCGAAGCATCCAACGCTTCCCTCTCCATGCGCTCCAAATTGGCGACCTTGCTTTCCAGTGCAGTCAGCTTCCGTCTCCATTCAGCATCCACCTCCGCGGCTCTGGCCTGGATCTGCTCCAGTTCCAACTGAATTGCTCGTAACTTGCCCTGCAGGTTCTCACATTCCGCAGCAACCCCTTTGCCCACCTCGAGTTCCTCGTCCTTGAGGCGGATTTGCTCTTCAAGTTCGCTCCTGCTGCGGAGCGCCTGCACTAGCTCCTAGTCCCTCTTCTCCAATTCCTCGCCCAAAGCCCGGTTGCGGGGATCATTCCTTAACTGTTCATGCAACTCACGACATCTATCGCGATAGCGACGATACTTTTCCAGCATCTGCAAGAAGATCCTCGGCCGGACTTTGGCCCTGCGAATATTCTCTACCTCCAACATGTACGTCTACAAAACAAGAAAGCAGTCAAACTAATGTTCATTCTGCAACAAAGGAGAAATAAATCGAAGTCAGATATAACATACCCGTAAGCCCATCACTGCCACCTCGTCCATCACTTCAACATCCGAAACATTCCTCGGGACTCGTTCTCGGCCTCAGAACACATCAAGCTGAATTGTGGTACCAAGTTACCTCCTTGAGTCAACAGGTTCTCATCAGCAGGGATCTCGATGAAATGGGCCGACCCCTCCGCATGAACCACCGAGTGAGTAATGCCCTCCTCGAACATCCAAACATCATCAGGGTCCAAGTCAAACTCGGACTCGTATTCACCGACCATTACACTCTTTCCTCTCTCCGCTGTCGGTGGTGTGGCGCGACCTGCCGAGGACGATAATGACACACTCGAGGTCACGACGGTAGCGTCAGGGGTTCGATTCTCTGCTACAGCGAGATGTCCTACGTTATCAGCAGCGGGAACTCCTGATCGGGTCGCTACAGCAGCGGGATTTTTCTGGCTCTGACTGGTGGGAGCAGCTCCGACCACCCGCTCCCCCTCAGCGGTAGATGCCGCGACAACACCTTCTTCTGGGTTCGCTGGGGGTGAATCCAAGTTGATCACTGTCGGAGGAGCCATCTCAAACCCTACCCTTCATCTCTTCGACGGCCCTTCCTCCTCCCCGGTCGATGGCGAGTCGTTCTGAGGACGGACGATACCAGATCGACCCTCCTCCGGAGATATAGTCCGGGTCGGAGCGGCCAAAGCCACAGATTCTACCGACGCCGCCCTCGACAAAGGACGGGCTGCAGGTACTGCACTGATACGAGCGGACGCGGCCGGCCGACGGAAAGC